GGTAGACCGCGTGTCCCGATGCCAAGTGCTGCTCCCGCTCTGCCTGCGTCGGCGCCCTGCCGCGGCACGCGACTCGAGCGGGTGCCACCTCCGGCGCCTGCTGCTCCTCCTCCTGGCCCACGTCTAAGTCGGTGGGCGGCGCTGGGCCCGGGCCCCCAGCCACAGCGCCGCCTCCCCCCGGCCTTACGGCCAGGCCTGCCGGGGAGGGACTGGCGACCCGCCTTCGACCGGGCACAAGTCCCAGCTCTCGCGGTGGTCGCCGAACGTGACTCTCCTGACGTGGCCTCCCTCGTTCTTCTTGATGTAGCCTGCGTAGACGCCCTTCTCAACATACAGCGGCACCACGCCCGACTCACTCCACACAGCGTCACGAATGAGAGCGTCGACGCGGTTCACGATGTCCGAGCCGGCCGGGAGGATGTAGCCACCCTCCTTCGTCAGCCAGGTGGCCCGGCCCGTGCGGTGAGTCTGCGAGGCCGAGACCAGCGGCTTGTGGATGCTGGCCAGGCGTGCCTTCAGTCTGATCGGCTCGCTCCACTCGGATCGCCCTTGGATGCATACACCGCCCGAGTCTGCTATGATCTCACCGCTGGCCGTCCGATAGCTCGCATTCGGATCGGCCGGGAGCCGCTCGCCCTTGGTGTTCTCGGGGAAGGTGGTAACGGCTGCGCCCGAGTCGAACGTGAACCTGATCCACTCCTGGTCGTCGACGGTCTCGTCGAAGCTGTTGAGCTCAAGCGTGCACAGCTCGAAGGAGCCAAGGTTCGTGGAACCCACCTGGCTCGCTGAAGGCGGTAGGCTGGTGATCGTGCTGTGGTTGCCGTCGTCCCAGTTGTCTGCGTAGACCGGCTGGCTCGAGCTCGACGCGGCACCGGGCTCGAAGGAGTTGGTGTCCCAGCGGCGATTCTTGCCCTTGCCTTTGTCCTTGTCTGCGTCCTTGCCCTTGCCTTTGCCTTTGCTGCCCTTGCCGTCGCCGGTCTTCCCGCCAGGCAGGCGGACTGTGCACTCATTCGACGTGTGGCCCCAGCCACTGCAGCGCCAGCACTGCACCGTCCGCTTGTCACGCGGCTTGGTGGTCTGGCCCTTCTTGCCGTTCTTGTCACCCTTACCTTTGGACTTGCCCTTGCCTCCTTTGTACAGCGAGTCCACGTCCATTGGGTCACCTCGCTTCCGTCGGAGTAGGGCGCCTTGCGACTGTCTCGACTCCAGGAAACTCCTGATCTCCTCTACGACCTTCTCCGACGTGTCCAACCGATGCTTGTTCATCGCGAGGTGGAGTTCGAGCTCTTCTGGCACCATGGTCTCGAGGGCCGCAACCTTCACGTCGTCGTCAACCACCTTGCCCAGGCCATCTGCCTTCTTCCTCTCGTACCGGCGGATGAGCTCCTCCCATTCCTCGAGCTTGGCGTACAGGTCGCTGAGAGTGCACCGCTGCGGGTTCATGATCTGCTTCAAGAGCACGCGGCGCTTGCCCCCTGACGCTGGGTCCCAGCGCCTGATGAGCTTCCTCATCGCCTCAGCGCCGTTACCCTTGGGAGTGTTCATCACTAGGGCAAAGCTCTCACCCTCTGTCAGCGTCTGGAGTGCGACGTACAGCTGGCTGACCTTCTCGCGGAGGTCTGGAATGAATTCATCTTCATCATCGTCGTCGCTGCCGAACCGTGCCTCCAGAACCTCCATGCTGATCACCGTGGTCTCCTGCGCCTGATCCTCCACCCACTCCAGCAGCTTGCGGAACTGCTCTCCGAAGACTGCCGTGAGGTACGCATTCGTCTTGCGGTACCACTCCAGGAACTTTGCTTCCTCATTCTTGAAGATGGAGGGCTTGCCTAGCCCTTTGGTGTCTACAAGGGAAAAGGCTGGCGCAGACGACTTATCCCTTCGTTCATCAGACAGTTTCTGCACCGCATCTCCGAGCTGCTCTGCCAGACGCGGTAGATCTCCCTGCGCCTGGACCTGTCGAGCGAGCTCCGCCCGGATCTGAACATTCTGCTGCTGCATCTGCTCGGCCTGCTGCGACAACTGTGCATTCTGGAGCCTCAGCGCCTCCACGGCCGACTGCAGGCTAGCCAGGGCCTGCCTCTCTTGATCGTTCATCGCAGCTGCCTGGCCTTGACGTACTTGAGGTACTCACCGAGCACCGACCAGAAACCTTTCAGGTACTTCTGCTTAAGCACCTTCGCCACCACGTGGCGCCACTTGCGCTGCACCCTGCCGTCGGTCTGCTTGACCGGTGCCTCCTCGTCTGGCACCCACAGCCACACGCCACCAGCAGCCCCGCTATCGCTGCTCGACGCCGTGGCTGGAGTGTGCAGGGCGGGCCGCGCTGGAGCGCGGCCGGGCTGGTGCGCGGGAGCGCCGGCTAAACCGACGCTCCGCTACCATGCAACGCTCCTTTGACACAAATGAGCTGCGGACGTCAAACGATATCGATAAGAACAGATACCACTGATTGTGCACATGAAGGGAAACATAAAATGATTCCCCATACTTATATATATATATATATATATATATAAAAAAATGTGTCGGTTTTTGTCGTCCCCCCCACTTCCCATAGTTTCCCGTATTTTCTGGGAGTCGACGATTAATTGTGTCTGTGTGTTTTTTCCCCTCCTGACATACGTGAAACACGAGGGGTCCGACCCGAACGCAGACAAGTCTGGCGACTGAAGCCAGCAAGCCGCTCGAGGCGTCCGCGCAGTCTGGGCCCCCCCTTGGCTGCGAGAGCCGACGCCTCGCCCGAGACACGCGCAGGATCTGCTCCGCACGCGGGGGGCGTCGGGCTGGCAAGCTGGCGAAACGCCCGAGACATCACCGCAATCTCCTCCTCCATCTCCTCCTCCTCCTCCTCCTCCTCCTCCTCCTCCTCCTCCTCCTCCTCCTCCTCCTCCTCCTCCTGAACGGGTGGGTGAATGAGATACTCCCTGGCTGCACTATTCGGGGTGCTGGAACCAGCGCCGTGCCTGAGACATCCTGAACATCTGCTCGGAACGCAGACAAGTCTGGCCACCGGAGCAGGCCAACCGCTACAGACATCCTCGCAATGCTGCCCCCCCTGAGGTGCGAAAACCAGCGCCTCGCCGGATACATCCTCAACATCTGTTCCGAAAACGAAACATGTTGGGCAACCAAACAACAAACCGCCTGAGACGTCCCAACAATCTGGGCGCGAAAGAGCTCGTGTCAAACCCCCCTGCCGCGACCTTCTTGGGACTGCTGGAGCCAGCACATATCCTGAGACATCCGAAAACAGAAAATAATGTTTGGCAACTAAACAGGCAAACCGCCAGAGACATCCCCACACATTGGGCGCGAACGAGCCCGTGTCATACCCCCCTACCGCCCCCCTTGGAAGTGCTGAAACCAGCGCCTCGCCTGAGACATCCTCAAGCTCTGCTGCGTCATATCATCACCATCACCATTATCAGAATCATCATCATCATCAGCAGCAGCATCATCAACATCAGCATGATAATCAGCATCATCAACAACAGCATCAGCACCATCACCATCATCAGCATCATCACCATCATCATCATCATCATCATCATCATCATCATCATCATCATCATCATCATCATCATCATCATCATCATCATCATCATCATCATCATCATCATCATCATCATCATCATCTACATCTACATCTACATCATCATCATCATCATCAGCATCATCATCATCATCATCATCATCATCATCATCATCATCACCATCACCATCACCATCACCATCATCGTCGTCATCGTCATCCGCTTCCTCCTCCTCCTCATCATCATCGTCATCCTCAGCCGCATCCTTATACTCATCCTCATCTATCCTCCTCATCATCATCAGCAGCAGCACCATCATCATACGCATCCTCACCATCATCATCACCGTCAGCATCACTATCCTCATCCTCATCCCCAGTATCATCATCATCATACTTATCATCATGCTCATCCGCATCCTCCTCTTCAGCCCCATCCTCATCCTCATCTCCCACCAAACTATCGCGTTTACCCACAAACGTGTATGGGGAGAGGATTCGAGAGGCGCCAAAACGTGAATACCGCCACACGCCGAAAGCTAAGCCAAAAGGCATGGGGATGGGGCCAGCGAGGTACGGCACGAGCGAGAAAACGGTTGCATGTGAAAGCCGTTTTCTTCCAAAAATAATCTGTGGGGCAGATTCCGAGCGCCCCCGCTTCGCGCTCTTGTTGGCGGCGCGCACACGGGGGTGGAGGGACGGGGGAAGGCGTCTTAGAAGGAGGCTCCTTCTCAGAAGGCGCCCGCCTTACATCTACAGGGAAGGCCCGCGCCTTCTCAGAAGCAGGGGTGCTTCTAAGAAGCCCTCCCCCTCCCCCCACCCACCTCTGCGCGTGGCTGGAGGAGGGAGGAGGAGGAGGAGGAGGAGAAGGAGGAGGAGGCCCGGCGCGTGGCTGACCTTTGCTGGCGGTGCCGCCGCTGAACCGACAGTTTTTGCGGCGGCAACCATGTTGCCAGAGCGTGCCGCCGCAGGGGTCGCTCGGCCGTTCGCGCCACGGCAACCAGCTCAGCAGATGACAACGCTTCGGCACGCAAGCAAGTACCGAGTATCTTTCGTCGGGCCCCAGCGGCGGGGGCGCACCTCGGCCGTCGTCGCGTCTGCGGGGTCCCTCTGCGCGGCGCCAGCGTTGACTGCCGCGCCCACCTCCCCGTGGAGCGGACCGCCCACGGGCCTGGCACCTCCTGCCGCCTCGCGGGCCCTCGCGCTCCCGGACGGCCTCGCCTCGCCTCGGGCCGGTGCCGCTGCAGCACCCCCACCGCGCCGCTGCCGCTGCAGCTGCGGGCCCTCCTCCTCCTCCTCCTCCTCCTCCTCCTCCTCCTCCTCCATTTCCTCCATTTCCTCCTCCTCCTCCTCCTCCTCCTCCTCCTCCTCCTCCTCCTCCTCCTCCTCGGCGGGCGCGGCGGCAGCGCGCGCGACGCCGACGCGACGCACGCGCGGCGGCCCTGCGCTTTCTGCTGCCCGCCGCGGCGCGTCCGTCTGCCGGGGTCTGGCGGCCGGACCCTCGCCGCCAGCGTGCCTCTCGCGCTTGTGTCGAAGGGGGGGTGGCAGGGGCACCGTGGCCACACGGAGGAAGGGGGGAGGAAGGACAGGTGAGGGAGGGAAGCTGCAGGAGGGAGGAGGGATAGAGGCCGAGGGATGGGGGGGGGATGGAAGGACAGGTGAGGAGGGATGCAGGCCGAGGGAGGGAAGCTGCTGGAGGGAGGAGGGATGGAGGCCGAGGGATGGGGGGATGGAAGGACAGGTGAGGAGGGATGGAGGCCGAGGGAGGGAAGCTGCTGGAGGGAGGAGGGATGGAGACCGAGGGATGGGGGGATGGAAGGACAGGTGAGGAGGGATGGAGGCCGAGGGAGGGAAGCTGCTGGAGGGAGGAGGGATGGAGGCCGAGGGTTGGGGGGGGATGGAAGGACAGGTGAGGAGGGATGGAGGCCGAGGGAGGGAAGCTGCAGGAGGGATGGACTGAACGAGGTAGCGCGAGGAGGGCACTGGGAAACGGAGGGGCTGACCGGGACATGCTTCTTGGAAGCTCTCCCTTTGGCGCTAAGCTGTCAGGGCCGAGGCGAAACATGCCAGGCATGTTCTACCTGGCAACGCAGCCCACATCACGAGACAAATTGACCACGACGTGGTTCCCGAACTCGCGGAACGTATTCCCCCACTCCCGCGTCCTTCTCCTCCCTCCTGCTCCTCCTCCTCCTCCTCCTCCTCCTCCTCATCCTCCTCCTCCTCCTCCTCCTCCTCCACGTCCTCCTGCTCCTGCTCCTGCTCCTGCTCCTCCTCCTCCTCCTCCTCCTCCTCCTCCTCCTCCTCCTCCTCCTCTTCCCCCTCTTCCTCCTCCTCGTTTTCCCCATCCGTTTCCTCTTCCTCTTTCCTCCTTTACTGCCAGCGGCAGTATCCTCTAGTGACCACCCTCCTTCTGCTGCGCACTCCCTAGAAATATCCGGTTATATTTTCCATAAGAGATATCACCGATCGTGGCTCGGCGGTGGGCAAACCTCCCTTTACTGAAAAATACCTAAGACCGAAACGACAGACCTGGACCCCCAAAAATGACGGCCGCGACGCCCTCTCGCGAACCGCAAACGGCCAATTCGCTAATCGACGTGTCAGGGTAGGAGGTCTATCAACCTCCGAGTGGCTTCAACATGCAATGGGGCAAACCACCATATCCGTAGCACAACGCATCCACGTAACATGGCCAATTGCTAAATCTGGTGAACTCTGTTCTGCCAGACTGCAAAAATAAGACGGTTACACTTACAATCCGTAGTCCGATTGATCTCTTTCTTGGTTTGTGCGAAAAGTTTCACGGTCTCTCCTCCATCGTCCTCCTCCATCCTCCTCCTCCTCCTCCTCCTCCTCCTCCTCCTCCTCCACGTCCTCCTCCTCCTCCTCCTCCTCCTCCTCCTCCTCCTCCTCCTCTGCCTCCTCCTCCTCCTCCTCCTCCTCCTCCTCCTCCTCTGCCTCCTCCTCCTCCCAGTCCTCCTCATCCTCGTACTCCTCCTCCTCTTCCTCGTCCTCGTCCTCTTCCTCTTCCTTTTCCTCCTCCTCGTCCTCGTTCTCCTCCTCCTCCTCCTCCTCCTCCGTTCCTCTTTCTTTTAAATAACTTCTCCCTGTTGCATCCCGAGGCCAGTTCTTAGGGCCCATGTATGCTTCTGACGCTGAACAATATGTTCGAGATGTGGCTATCGCCGTAGCGCCGCGCACATTCGTCTTTAAAAATTGCAAGAGCTTCGAGAATTGAGGGCGGGTCGTTTTCAATAAGTGGCTTCGGTTAGCTGTGCAACCATTCTACGGATTGAAAGCGGGTGGCTTTCAAAATGTGGCTCTCACCAAAGCGCCGCGCGCACTTGTCTTAAAAATTGCAAGAGCTTCACGGCTTGATGGCGGGTCGTTTTCAACATGTGGATTTCGCATTAGCGCCTCATATATTCGTTTTATATAGAAACATTTGCAAGAGCTTCACGAATTGAGGGCGGGTCGTTTTCAAAATGTGGCTTCGTGTTGGAAATGCATGCGTTTCACCGATTGAAGGCGGGTGGTTTTCAAAATGTGGCTCTATGTGGCTCTCGCCTTAGCGCCGCGCACATTCCTTTACAGAATGTGCAAGAGCTTCACGGCTTGATGGTGGGTCGTTTTCAAAATGTGGCTCTCGCCTGAGCGCCGCGCACACTCGGTCATACATGTGGAAGCTTCTCACGGACTCCCATGATCAACGTACTACCAGAAACTGCGTTTTCGAAGGATTCAGGATTATGCGGGCGCAAGAATTATGTTGATTCGCGGTGCTGAAGTCCCACAAATGTCGTTATGGCACGATTCCGGATCATCAAGACGTAACAGTCATGTGAATCCGTGGCGTTGGAATCCCGAGAACAATGGTTTGGCATGCTTCAGGGTCTTCAAACGATTGCCTTCCAACGAGGCAGTTCCCTCAATGGCAAAGAACCGTTGTAGGGGCCACTGAAGAGAGAGCTTGGAGGGAGGGTTCATTACAACATCGTTGATGGTCCTGGATTTACACTGGTCCTCCTCCTCCTCCTCCTCCTCCTCCTCCTGTTCCTTCTCCTCATCCTCATCCCCCCCCTCCCCGTCATCCCCCTCCTCCTCGACCTCCTCCTCTTCCTCCTCCTCCTCCTCCTCCTCCTCCTCCCCCTCCTCCACCTCCTCCTCCACTACCTCCTCCTCTCCTTCTTATTCTTAATATTATCCAGAAGCGTCCTTCTTATCATTCGCATTCGTATGGTTAGCATAGTAATAGCATTATGCGTCTTAGTAGTATTCGTATTGGTGCTATTACTAAGATCATGATTACTGAAAGTTTCACCCGTGTTAATCGAATATTTGTATTTCGTATTATCAGCATGGTTAGTAGTCATATCACTTGTATCAATTATGTGTGGATGTTGAAAACCATCACGACTAGTACTGTTAATAGTGTTCATATTATAAGTGCTGGTGGTAGTATGAATAATAGTGTGAGCATTCGAAATAATATCATTACTTGGATTCGCGTTCGTGCCAGTGTTATTATTATATTTCCATAAAAAATGTTGAAATGCTGTTTGGTAGTATTCGTATGTCCCTTCTTATTACGTGTGTTATTAGTATTACCAGTATTCGCATACGTTTCTTATTATTACGATTACTCTTCACAAAAATAAAATTGACTTAATATTGGTTTTTAGGAGTGTTTTTACTATTATGAATTGTCACCGTCTTACTAGTATTCGCACTAATAATAATACTATTCCTCATCATCCTCCTCTTCCGCCTCCTCCTCCTCGACTTCCTCCTCCTCCTCCTCCTCCTCCTCTTCCTCTGCCTCCTCCTCCTCTTCCTCCTCCTCGTCCTCCTCCATCCTCCTCCTCCTCCTCCTCCTCCTCCTCCTCGTCCTCGTTTTCGTCCTCGTCCTCCTCCTCCTCCTCATCCTCCTCCTCCTCCTCCTCCTCCTCCTCCTCCTCCTTCGCCTCTCCTTTCTCCATTTCCTCTTCCTTTTCCTCCTCAGCCCCCTGGAAGCCACGCCGCGCACCGCGCGGCCCCAAAGGCGCCGTCTGCTCAGCAACTCAGCTCTGGGGCCGCAACGTCGCCGGGCACCTGGCCGCGGCGTGGTCGCCCAGCAGAGGCGGGCGGGCTCTGCGACAATGCCGGGGAAGAGCGAGGATGGAGGAGCGAGGAGGGCATGGAGAACGAGGACAACTCAGCGAGGGGAAGAGAGGAGGAGGAGGAGGAGGAGGAGGAGGAGGACTCCACTGAAGCGCTGATGCCCTTGGAGGCATGCGTCACCATGTAAAGTCGGATGGGGCCCAAGGGCACACCCACCTTTAGAACGGTGCCTCAAGGTACAAGGACCGTTGCGGGCCACCTCCGTTGTGATATACGTTGATCATTTCTCAACTTGTGCGCCAGAACAGTTGGCGCGTATCTACACACGTGGAGGCGGATGTGCTTGAGAGGCTGTCTTCCTCACCTCCTCCCTGCTTGGAGCAGGCGGCGAAGTGAGGACGCCAAGGAAATGAGTTGGGGGCACTCAGACTACGCAGCGCTGAATGCGCGTGCGTGCACGTGCGGCAGGGTGCAAGCAGGGTATAGATGAAAGGTCTTTGTGGACAGCGTAACCCCAGGCCCCCTCTGTACGGCATCTTAGATTTGACAAGGGGCATCTCGCTGGCCTATGCCGCCGTGTACCGCACAGGTGATAAATCATGTTGCATGTCCCACCGCCTGTGCAGAGGATGAGCTGTGAGCCCCCGGAATCGCGTTATACGCTGGCTCCCCGAACATGTCGAAGGGCCCCACGGGCGCTCTCAGGGGGCCACAAGGACGGGACGGCTTGATCCCTTTGGGCCTTTGGGGGGACACGTGGGCCTGCTCAACCGCGGCGAGCATCGCCTTCCTGCCGGTGAAGGGGAGAACCCGCTCCACGGGAGGGCAGGGGAACCTGCCCTGCCGCAGGCTGGAACGCCACCCGACGGGTACCAGGGGGGGCCTGCTGCACCGCAGGCGTATCACCACCCTGAGGTTGACACGAAAGGGCAACGCACAGTCGGGACGGGTGACCACCCCAAGGTTATGTTGTTTCCATCCTACTTAAGGACCGCATCCCAGCAATAACTTCGAGCACCCCGAAAAGTGTCGAAAGAGTGTCGAAACAGTGTCGGGCGAGCGTCTCCGAGGGCCCGCCGGGTGAAAATCCTCGAGCTTCGGTACATTTGTGGGGCGCTCGGAATTCTTTCTTCCTGGTGATCAAGGCGAAAAGTAGGTTGGAACATCATAACCCTAAGGGTGAACTTGGCGGCTCGCCACCCTGCCGCCGAGGTCGCCGCTGGCCCTGCGACAGGCGGGACCTGCTCCACGGCAGAGCCGCAGGCCTCGGCCACGTCGCGGGGCCACAAGGCTGACGCGATGGCCCCGCGAAGTCGCCAGGGCACGTTGCCCTGGCAACCACACCCAGCGGGTTCTCCCCAAGGCCCCCAGGGTGCGCTACTATGATGAAAGGAGCCCTGGGACACACAAATAAATACACACAGATAAAGAGATTCCCCACATCTCCCCATTTTTTCCGGGTCTCTGCCTCCCCCCCCACTGCCCATCCTTTCCCATACTTCCCTGGGGAATCGACGATTCATTGCGTCTGTGTGCTTTTTAGAGGAAAAAGAACTATGCACATGCACCGATTCTGGCCAGGCCCATCCTGAGCCCAGGATCGGTGCATACGCCCTCCTACCTTGGCCAGGAAGGCATATGCACCGATCCTGGGTCAAAGATGGGCCTTGCCAGGATCGGTGCATGTGCATAATTCTCTTCGCCCGACTTTTCCCCTCCTCAGCGTTGCCCCGGCAACCAAAAACCCGACGGGCTCTCCGAGGCCCCCAGGGGTGCGTTACTACGACGAAAGGCGCCCTGCACAGGTCGCCGCCGGCCCTGCGACGGGCGCGGGCCGGCCCCGCGGCCGAGCCGCAGGCCTCGGCAGAGGCCACCGACGGCGGCCCGCAGTCGGCCACACGCGTGGCAAGAGGAGGAGGAGGAGGAGGAGGACGAGGATGAGGAGGAGGAGGAGGAGGCAGAGGAGGAGGAGGAGGAGGAGGAGGAGGAGGAGGAGAGGGAGTGACCCTGGGCAAGAGTGACCTCTGGTGCGCGGCTTCTTGGGGGCCGCGTGGGGACCAAACCTGGGCGCGCGAGCCGCTGCTCCGGCTGTCGCGTTCCGCCATCTGGGGACCCATCTGTGCCCGCACCGAAGGTCGCTCCGGCGAAAGGTCACTCTTACGTCCAGTCGGCGCAAGGGGCCTCCGCGCCTGCCGGAGGCGGCTCCGCGTGAGGCGAGAACCTTTCCTGTTGAGTCGGGCCTGTCCCCCTGCAGCGGGAATCTCGACGGATATATATATATATATATATATATATATATATACATCCCTGAATAAACGTGCTTCGGCTCAAAGACACACTCATGCATGCACACAAAGAGAGCAGCAAACGACGATCGATAGATGTCGACGTGCATCTTATGAGCCGGCTCGCAACACGCGAGAGGTGCCTGAGGGGTGGGTCCCCGAAGAAGTCCGGAGATGCTCTGTTGCTCATCTCCGGCCACGCTTTGAAATGCCAAATACCAACTCCAGCAGCGCACAAGAGGCTAGTGTAAGTCAGTGGCACAACACCGTCGAGGGCACACAAGTGGAGGAGACGGAAGAAGAGGGAAGGACAAGGGGGGAAAGGGGCGAGAAAAGAACTGCAGAAGCACTAAGAAGAGGGATAAACTGTGCAGGCACATCTCACATCCCTGAATAAACGTGCTTCGGCTCAAAGACACACTCATGCATGCACACAAAGAGAGCAGCAAGCGACGATCGATAGATGTCGACGTGCATCTTATGAGCCGGCTCGCAACACGCGAGAGGTGCCTGAGGGGTGGGTCCCCGAAGAAGTCCGGAGATGCTCTGTTGCTCATCTCCGGCCACGCTTTGAAATGCCAGGATTGCCGGCACGCCGAGATACTGCGAGGGCCTCACTGACTACCTGCAACACTCGTTCGGGCAGGTCACTGCGTAGGCGCGCCGCCTGGCGAAGAAGCTGATCTGAGACACGGCCGAGCGAGCGAACGAGACTGGCGGGCTTGGTGTAAATGCGGCAGCTCTCGAGAGACACCCACCGCCCTCGCTGCTGGATATCTTCGATGGGAACTTTGTGCACCAGCGAATCATGACTAGGCCCCGCATGGCGAAGCCCATGCGCTAACATAGGAAAAGAAAGAGCTTTACTCATCTCTCGGTAGAGCCGCTCTAAGGTGCTCAGCGTGAGGCAACGAAAGAGTGGCTGGTCAGATCCTAGATTGCGTGTCAGGAGCTCAAGCAGCTGGCAGGCCCACTGCCTGTCATGGGCACCCACGACCACACTCGCATCGAACCTCCTGTTCTTGGCGGGTGGCCCTCCTCGGGGCGCGATCGTCAGAGCCCAACCCTGCGCAGCGGCCCCACGGCGCGGCCTACTCACAGCGGCGCCCACCAGCGACAGGCCCTCGGACGGCCTGAGGTAGCAGTCGACGCTGATCCAGGCGTGCGCGGCCGCCATGGCGCACAGCAGAAGGTCCTGGCCGGCAGCGCGCCCGATGATGCGATCTCCCGCAAGATAGAGCTTCTCGATGTAGTCCTCCAGCGCACGGTCCCACGCCTCAAGGCTCTTGGCACTGGGGACGCAGCGGCCCAGGAAGCGCACCACATCAGCATAGGCGGCCTCATATCGCCTCCGTGTGACCGGCGTCACCGTCAGCTTCTTGAGGAATCCAGGCTCTTCAGCTCCATGCTGCCGAAGTCGCTGGCCACGACGGCGGTTACGAGTCTCCACTTCGGTGAGAGCGCAGGATGTCCAGCTCCTCGCCCAGGGAGACGCCGTCCCAGGAGCGGCTCGCCCGCTCCCAGCCGAGCGAGGCCCGCCGCGGGAGGACTGGGAGCGCCAGTGCGGCTGCGGGGCACGGGTCGACCGTGCCTGCGGCCTGGCGGAGCTCGGCCTCCCACGAGGGCGCCAAGAGCTGCTCGCCGCCTCGGCAGAAGGCGCTGGGCGGGGCGGCATCCCCAAGCACCTGGGCCACAGCCCGACAAAGAGCTGGAGGGTAAGCCGAGGCATACGAAGTCCGCCAACGCCAACCGATGCCCTCAACGAAGACCGAGCCTTGTAGTATGACGTGACGCTGGCAGCCTGGACAACGGCGGACCGCTTGCTCGAAGTTGGGAAGGTTACTGCAGAGACCAGTTGGCTTCTTCCAGGCGGCACCATAGGCACACATGTGAACTTCATGACGCTCGCACCCCAGACGCCTGAGCTGCTTCCTGATAGGCTGCCACTGCCAAAGCCCAGACGACCACGGGTTCTCCAGTACCACGAAAACGTTGTGGACAAAGCACTCCCGTAGGACTCGTACAGTGAAGCGGGCGCACTCCAAGCCATCCTTCTCCGTGGTACCCGATGGGTCCGACCGTCGGGCTGAGCTCCAGCGCGTGCAGGGCGTGCCGAGGGCGACGGCCCAGATGCGGCCACCTCGAATCCAGTTGAGCACCACCTCAGCGATGGGTCGCGAGATGATGTCGAAATGCTCGCCATTCTCGTAGTCGATGGGGACCGCCACGGACAAGCCCGCGAGGGCCACCGCCGCCGAAAGGCGCATGCAGCCCGCAAAGATCTCCAGGAAGGCCTTGCCCTGACGCCGAAGGCCCGGCGGTGCACGGACTTCAGGCCTAGGTACCCGTACTGGCCTGGAGGGCCGCACGGGGCGCGCCACGGCAGCCGCACCTGCAAGCCGCACATCCACCGCGGCCAGGCCCGCGTCCTCCGCAGGGCGCGCCACGGCCAGCGGCGCCGCCTCCTGGGCGGCAGCGGGCAGCACGCGGAGGCGGCCCTCGTCCAGCGCCTCAGCACCACGGCCTCGGCGAACCTCGCCTGGCCGGAGGTGCGGCAACCGGGACCCATAGTCACTGGGGTTGCGCTCCGTCTCGATGTGCCTCCGGGCCCAGCGAACGTTGGCCGCGGCCTGGAGCGCGGCGGCGCGCCGCGCCAGAGCCAGCAGCTCCCACGATCGGGCACGACCTCTGTCCATGGCGAGGACC